CATTATGTTTTTAAACATATCACTATTATTCGAACTGATCAGTTATTGATTGATGGACAATATCGTTCAAGCAACCTTCATTTGGAAAATGGCCGACGTGCGGATTGTTCATGTAATTCTCCAATTTATATTTACCAAATTAATGTAGGCGACACAGATATAGAACAAACACAAAGCCTTGTGGCTATAACATCAAATCTTCACATAACGGAGGTGTGGAGTAACTTCATACTTTCTGGGGGCACGGGTGGCCCAGTCGTCTAAGGCGCCGTGATTCGCTGTGCAGAGTTGCATCCCTTGGGCACGCCAGAAACCTATGATTGTGGGTTCGAATCCCGGTTCGCCCCGAATATGTTTCTAGGTTTGTCACCACCATACCCGTGCTCGTTGGTTTCACCGAAGTGGTAAACGCCAGAGACCTGCATCACTTCAGGCTTTCCTCCCACATTAAGCTGACACGCAGTGATATAACTGGAATATTGTTAAAAGCGGCGTTAAACCCAACTCACTCACTCACTTCATACTTTCTCTCGTCACACCAAAGGTCCGGGTTCGATTAAGCACATGGATTAACTATATGAAGCCCATTTCTGTTGCCACCAGCCGTGATATCGTTGAAATATTGCTAAAAGCTACAACCATACTTACTCACCCTTCACACTGCATTGCACATGTGTTAATTAACAAAGCAAGGCGGAAAACATGTTGGCCTTTTTTGCACAACCCGGAAGAACTTGTCTATCCCGACGATATTCATATTTCATATTTTCTATTGTTTTATATGGTTTCGTATTATCTGAAGTCTTTCAGTGGCATTTAGAAGTAATGCTCATTTGGAAGAGAATATATGGATGTCAAACCTTTTTATAATGAGGAGCACAACGTTTCGGAGTGTGTGCTTATTCCTTCATTCACCTGATTCACCAGGAGTAAGTATATTCTCCGAAACATTGTGTTCCTCATTATAGTGTCTCGTAGGCCATTTTGGCCGGCCGCTGAATTTTTACACTCTTTCCTTGTCATTTAGTACAGCGGGTGACACTATAATAAAATATTCTTCTTCTTCTTCTTCTTCTTCTTCTTCTTCTTCTTCTTCTTCTTCTTCTTCTTCTTCTTCTTCTTCTTTATAAAGAAGTTGACATCGATATATCCTCTTCTTTATGGGTATCACTTCTAAATGCCATTTAAGCCTTATACAAAAGGAAGAGAATTTATGGATGTCAACTTAAATTGTGTTCCTCATAATAAAGAAGTTGATATCCATAAAGAAGTTGGTAACCAAAAATGTTCTTCCTTTCGTATTGTGTAGTTTGAAGGAAGGTTTAGATATATGGTCCATGGGGAACTTAGAACTATAGTATTCATATATATGGTAACACACTTGGGTTGAAAAACATCTAAATTGTCATATCTTTAACCGTTAATCGGGTTTCTGTACGTCACTGTCATTGTGCATAAGACGATGTATACAATACGCTTTTACAATGTATACACTCTTTTTTTTCAGAAATGGAGAAGTGACGTTAATTCTACTTCTAAAGGGTTATATTATAAACATTTAAAGGACACTCCGGTTCTCGATAAATATCTTCTTTTGCCAAAACGAATATCAATTCGAATACTACGATTTCGAACCTGTAATCATAATTTACCTAATGAGACTGGCCGATGGAAAGATACTCCAAAGGAAAATAGAACCTGTAAATTCTCCATCTATTACTGATGAATTTCACTACTTATTCAGATGTATTTCTTGCAAAGAGAGAGGCAAACATGTCTCTCATCATATTATACTGAATGGCCAAATATTATAAAATTTGTAAACCTCTAAGCAACAACAAACACACAGGATCTAAAGAATTTATCGAGATTTATTGTAAAAATGTCCATTAGTATTCAGAAAGCTAGGTAATCACATGTTGTTATTAACTGCCATCTTGTCTGCTTTTTGTACATATACATAATTATATATTGTAATATACTCATGTACCACCTTTTGTGTTTTTTGAGAATAAACTGATTCTGATTCTTACTATGTACTTTGTATATCTGTTATTGTAAAGGCAACCACGGCAAATAACAGTTTGCTTAAATAACAAAGGCGATTTGATTATTACACTACGCTAATTAATGCCCTATTAACAATTCAAACGAGATTGTGATGCACGGGTTAATTCATGACATGCTTATTGCTGGAATAATGGAAGGTGTGCGAAGCAACTGTTTTGTGTCAACGCTTTCAAATCGTACAATTCATACGATTCTAATTCCCGAGACATCCTGCTTATGTTTCTACCCGTGCTTGTGGTGTCCACCGAAGTGCATCATTAGTTTTCCCCTAAAATGAGTCCATATGAAATGTTAAAAAAACGATATTTTTTTATGTTACTATTAGTATTTCACACAATGGACTAAACTTCGTCCATGTACTGTTTGCTTTGAACTCGGTAATGAAAAAGTATATTTAAATTGAATAAGACAAATATGGGGTATTTTGACATTTTATAAAGTAACCTTTGCAGAGACTGCAGCAATCCCACTGCTGACAGAGATATGTTTTGCCAATGAAGCATAAACATTATTTGTTTCAAACGCATTGAAGTAATACTGCTTCTTCAAGATTGTCATGAAACAGATATCGACCCTCCAGATTGATATTAAGACGTTAATTTCATTTAACATCATAAGTGTTTCAGTTAACATTTACATGGTGGATATCATGATATGGATGTAATAAAAAATAACAAATACATGTATGTCAATATCATATACCGCCTGGGGACACCCCTAATTATTCAAATAGCCTCAAACACAAGAGACCAAGGTGAAAAGATAAACTCACTGAATATTATGACATTTACTGCTCCGGAATACGTTTGCGATTAGTAAGTCATAAACCGTGGCTGTCATACAGGCTTAGGATAATCAGGTGTTTATTTCTATTGCAATTCAGGAGATAAATGAAACACTTGGCAAACAACAGGAATGAGGTTCGTTGTTTGAGTTATTTGTGTAATCAACGCTGTCAAAACATGCTAGTCTTCTCGGAATTAGGCTCGTAGAGATAGAGTAGATTACGTGAGCTGGTGTCAGAAGCATGTTTAGATAAAGAAATAATATCTTGTTGTATGTCTGGGTTTGCATTATTGAACAGATAGGATCGTCCCGTCAAACGTATAGGATGTAATATTTTACTGAGGTGTCTGGTAAACAGATCTTAAGTAACAGCGCCAAAACCGTTTCCAAAATAATAAGACGTTTCTACAGAGTCCTTTGTATTATTCCGACTATACCATTAAAAAGGGTTTTCTTTATTACTATCAAATAGTGATAATACCAAAGGATGGAGCTACTGGAATATTACTTGACATAAAGAGGAAGTTGATCATAATAATTGGAAAGTTGAAGTCATCCCTTTTGTAATACAGTCTTGTGAATATTTATTTGTCACACTACAACAGGTATGACATTCTAGCATTTGTTAATCCCAAAGGATGAGAGGAGAAAACAACTGTACACTGAGACATCCAGAACGCTTCCAAGATATTCACCAATTTCAACATTGTTCAAAGGGAAAGTATATAATTAATTGAATAGAAGGTATGATCTCAAAAGGAGATCATCATGTAACAGTGAATGAGCGAGTTTGGGTTAAGCATTCTTGCACAGTATCTCCGTAACATAACCAAGAGCGAGTCTGTTGTGGGAAGAAAGTGCGAAGTGATTCCGGTCTCATATGTATACAACTTTGGCGAAAACCAAGAGCAGGGATATGGTGCTGACAAACCTAGAAACATAATTGGGGCGAACCGAGATTCGAACTTTCAGAGTAAATACGTACTCCTTCATTCACCTGATGAAGGAGTAAGCATATACTCAGAAGCGTTGTGTTCCTCATAAATCCATAAATGGATAAATGACCTGATCCCCTTACACCAGAGCTGGCTTTCGACCTTGGTCACATCACGGGCACGCAAATGGTGTATGTATCCTTAGTATCCTAATCCGTACGAATTTAGGGATGGAACAGTTGGATGTCGTACTACGCCTAGCATGTCATTCCCACCGGTGAACCACTATATTAAACTAATAATGAGATATACTTCCCAAGATTTGTCTGTATTACATGTTCGTGTTCTTTATTGGTGCGATTAGTCGTCTAAATCGCCGCAATTCGCTGTGCAGAGTTGCGTCCCTTGGACACGCCAGGAACCTATGGTCGTGGGCTCGACTCCCGGTTCCCCCTATTATGATTGTAAGTTTGTTAGCACCATACCCGTGGTAGTAGGTTTCACCATATTAGTTAACGCCTGAGAAACGCAGCGCTTTCCTCCCATATTAAGCTTACATGCCACAATATAAGTGGAATACTGTTCAAAGTGGCGTTAAACTCAACTAACCCACTCACTCAACCTGGGACATACTATTATAATACTATAGTTTTATGACCTCGCGCTATATGATCATTGACTGGTGTATTTATCACAACACCATTTGAAACTTGTTCGGAATTAAATATTTAGTGAACTGTTTTCACATGAGAGATGATTGTCATCTTCTGATGACGACAATGGGCGTTCCTATCTACCAGAGAGATATCTCCGTACACCCTATCCATATCATATGCGGGTGGATTAATCCGCTTGAAGCAAACCAAAAATGTAACGTGGATATTCCTTGGCCACCTTTAAGGTATACTCTCAATAATACAATTAATTACCAACGTAAGATTTGAAATAATGTTTTAGAACATATTAACACATCATAGGATGTGGCCTAACCTGGTCCCAGATCGACTATATAAAGGCCAAATATATATACCGCATATATTAGAAGTTCTACACTGGCACGTCTAATCTCTTTGTACAGCCAAGACATACCACCAATAAATGTTAAAAAAAAGAAACAAGTAAAAATAATCGTTCAAACAAGATATACTCATCACATAGTTTAATGGATTAAATAAACAACAATAACAAAGAGCAATGTATTGCCACTAACTAACACATAAGCTCCCGAATTCGTCTTGGAACCAACATTGTTCTTTCGTGTGGAATCACATTTGACATCATACGGGAATACACATTAGAGTTTTGAGGCTCTGTATTACATTTTAAACGTTTCTGTGTTTCATAATCACATGTCACATCACTTGACCGTTTCCGCTTCCCATAGCTATGACCTCCACGGAAAGGTAACTCTGATGGCATCTCATTACCATTGTCTGTGATATGTCTCAGTCTTGAGACGTATTCTCCAATGAAGGTTTCTGGGTGTCCAGAATGCACTCTCTGCTGTGGCTTTTCTCGAGGAACACTTTGTAATAAAGTATCCAATGAGAAGGACCCGCCTCTACTGACATCTGGGTAAATGAGGTTGGTGAATATAACGTCCAAAGCGTATTTCGAAAGATCGCTGTTTGTCACCAGCTTGTTAGGACATTGTGCGGGCTGTCGCATGTTTGGGTTTACCACGGCATGAGATGGCACGTGTGACCTTGCAGGAACAGACGTGTGACCTTGGTGGCGATGGTGCGTAGACTGGACTTGATGCACTTGCTGTGTTTGTCGTACAGTGTTCGTGAGGTGCTTATGTGCTGGTTCATGGCTGGCTTCGTAGGCTTTGTTCTCCCAATCTGTGCATACAAAAACGTTATGTTAGTATGATCCATCACAAACCCCAAATATCTGTTTTTTTATAAGAGTCATGGCATATGATAAGCATGTCAATACGGTTATAAACATAATATTGTTTCAAAATAATGATTACAATATTGCTGTAAACGTTTTAAACACGTAGTTCTTGTTAATGGCTTGTTGAAGATAAAATTCTATATTTGTTGTCAAACAAGGAAATAATTAATTATCTGCCTTCTACGATTAAGTAAATATTTCCAAGTAAGCTTGACAAAAAATAAAAAGGTTGATTTACACGTTTACACAATATTTCATAAATATATTGTGCTCGGTATATTTAATTGCATAATTATATATTGCAACAAATATATCAATACATTACCTATAACAGATAGGAGGTCATCTAAAAGCTCCTCATTTAGGCCTGGAATCTCCACAGTTGTCGGACTAGGTATTATGTCAGTAGATACAGCAGGGACTGGTGACGCTATGAGAAGGGACGGTTGATTCTTGTGCTGAGGATCATCAAGACCTGGAAATTTACTGAGATCCAAGGAGTAGGCGATGTTGGTATCGATGCACAGAGGTTGTCGGAGACGTGATGCCACATCCATTTTGAAGACTGGTCAATAAAGCATGGATAGAACTAGAAAATAAATATCCAAACACACAGATCACACAGGTCCAGGTTATCCACTGTTTTGTCCGCTTGGTATGTCTGGAGTTCACAAACGCAGCCTGTTATATCTGGCCCTGAGGACAGAGTAGATTGTTCAACCTGTGATAAACCTTTGTGGGGAGGACACCGTTAATGAAGGTAACCCCTCACACCTCCTTTTATCCACTACCTGTAATGACATAATTTGCTCGAAACCAACCAATCAAATCGCTGGTTCTGATTGACACGCGCGACTCATCTGAAATTAGAGTGAATTAAGCCAAGTCACCAATGTTTATTGTCACAGATAAGGAAGTCGAACCAGATAGGCATTGGTCCCGCTTCACTGGTTTTCAAAGCAATGGACAATAGGTGTTAAAAATAAACCGGAGGGGGTAGCTCATCAGGGCCCTTTATCTCTCGTGGTGTTACCATCACAATTGTTATAGACTGGCTGCTGTCCCAGATGGTGTTGTTATATTGTATCTGGAGGGGGTGAGGCCATCACTGAGTCGACTTAATTAAGTCAGCTGTTTATGGACGAAAAGAATAATTCCATCACCCCTGACGCAACATTATCACAGGATTTAGCTAATACGATTGTTAGGTAAGACGGTGTTTGGGATAATAGATTCCGTTTGTTGTCGTAAAGACAAAATACTCACCCTAGTAAACCACCTTTTATCAGTCCTAATATACAAGTCAATTACAATGTCTGAGCTATGAAGTATACACGACATTTAATTGGGATGAAAGTTCTGGAATTGCGAAATGTGTAAACTTAAATTTTTGTTATAAAACAATAAACAAAATAACTGACAAATTACCCCGATTACGCTTCTTTGTCATTATTTTATCTTGTGCATGGAAATATGCGTGTGTTTTGGCCGGGAGTAGCCTTGTTCAAAGCGCTCACTCTTGCTCATGATCTTGGTTAGATTCCCCATGTGGGTTGAAAAACGGGGAGGTTATTGTCCGTGCTATGGGTGAAATGATAAAAGCGACGCTAAACTAAACTCACTCACACCTTGTTTCTAATTTAAATGCACTCTGGTCTTGATAAGAAATCATGCACGATGTTTTAACGGTCTTGATCAAAAATGAAAAGTGAAGTACAGTTAGAAGACCCAGGGTAACCAGATATATTGGATTCGTAACGGGTTGATGTGATATTGCTCTATATGTAAATGTGAAAAACGATTCTCCCTTTGCTTTATAGTTAAGTTTAGTTTCCTATATAAATTCTATCATTTCAGTTGTTACAAATATATTTTCTCGTAGCCTGTTTTGTCGGAATAATTAATCCAAAGAGCTAATGTCATAGTGTTTCCTGTAATTACCGACGCTAAAAACATTTCTTGTATCTTGTATGTGTGTTGTATCATGGTTTGCATGTGGTGTTCGAATCCCAGTACGCCCCGATTATGTTTTGGGGCACGGGTTGCCCACTCGTCTAAGGCGCCGCTATTCGCTGTGCAGAGCTGCGTCCCTTGGACACGCCAGAAACCTATGATTGTGGGTTCGAATCCCGGTTCGCCCCGATTATGTTTCTAGGTTTGTCAGTACCATACCCGTGCTCGTGGGTTTCACCGAAGTGGTAAACGTCTGAGACCTGCATCACTTCGGGTTTTCCTCCCACATTAAGCTGACACGCCGTGATATAACTGGAATACTGTTAAAAGCGGCGTTAAACCAAACTCACTCACTCACCCGATTATGTTTCTACGCTTGTCAGCACCATACCCTGCTCGTGGGTTTCACCAAAGTAATAAACGCCTGAGACCTGCATCACTTCAGGCTTTCCTCTCACAGTAAGCTGACACGCCGTGATACAAATGTAATACTGTTAAAAGCGGCGCTGAAACCAACTCACTAACTCAGTCTTTTGAATATGAATTGATTGTTACTAATTCAGTGCTAATATAACAAACATTCTTCATAACTGATTGTGTGCGTACACACCAACATACTTATGATTCACCAAAGAAAGCAGACTTATCTCCCAGACAATAACGAGATGCCATATACGTTTTGAGAATAGTTACTCGGCCATGCGTGTGTCGATTCGATTATAACAACTCTTAGGCATTTAGGGAACACATAAAACGTATCATTACTATCATATATATATATATATATATATATATATATATATATATATATATATATATATATATATATATATATATATATATATATATATATATATATATATAGTGTTATAGTTATAGTTATACATATATATAAAACTAATATATATATAAACATTCTCTCTGTCTCTGTCTCTGTCTCTGTCTCTCTCTGTCTCTGTCTCTCTCTCTCTCTCTCTCTCTCTCTCTCTCTCTCTCCCTCTCTCTTTGTGTTAATCTTCCGTGTATGGCGTTTGCACTGAGTCGTGAGCTCGATTTCGTACTACCATGCAGTTCGTTGATCCTAGGGCAACTACCCCTGGACAATTGTACCCCGGAAACAGCCCCTTGGAAAACTTACCCGAGGTGTAACTTGCCCCCGGAAATATGACCCCTAGATAATACAGTATAGGGCAAGTGTAATTTCAGGTACAGCAGCAGTATCATGTGTACAGAAATACTCAATCAATGCTACAGACGTAGCATCCTTTATTGAGATATACATTGGGACAAAAAGAAAATAAGTAGCATATTTCAATTTTATGTTTTTAGAGTTACCTTTAGCTAATATTGCACATATTTTCGAACTTCAAGGGAACAAAGCCTCGGCATACAACTTATTTTGTTATCCTGTCATCGTTAAATTTCCTCAACACTGTCCTTCTATTCTACCACGTAATGTACAGAAGGTCAGTATTCGTCTCTATTCATTTTGTGAAGATGGATGTTCAGAGACTCGATCGCTTTAGTGATAAAATATTTGTAATTCTTGTATTTGCCTCGAACTACATATAAGTTACATATTTCATATCCATGTTTTTCCTATGAGCGCGAGGGTAGTTTTAAATACAGCATCAAATCCCAAAACATATCTTCATCTTTTTCTGTTTTATTATCGGGGACAGTTTCCAAGAGGAATGTTATACGCGGGGGGATTTGTCTAGAAGCTGTCTTTTGAGGTGCAGTGGCACTGATACCACGTTCGTTGTGTAGCACACCCAGTTGCCATGGTAATAGACATTGAAAATTGCAAAATATAATATACATTTGTTATTGTTAACACGATACACCAGACTTCAATATGTTATTTGACCCTTGGTGGATAAGTCTGCACTTTGACGTCAATGACTGAGAGGTGTTGATATCATATATTGGAACCAACATAAAGAACAAACCGACAGACTCTGTTCTGAACCGTGTGAATACAGCTAACTTCTCGATTACCCAAAATGGCAGAACCATACGGCAAAACAGGCTGAGATAAGCTATTGTCCATAGCGTTGAAACCATCTAACGAATTCCACCAATAGCTTTAAATTTACTTATTATTGCACCAAGAGCTCTTCCAGCAGGTTCAGCAATTCCTTTAGGTGTAAAATTCAGATCAAGATGTTCCGTTAACATATCTAGATATTTATACCAAGGTGCAATGTCAACGGAATCTTCACCAAAAGTGCAGTTAAAACTTGATTTGGATCTATTTAATGGTCTATAATCAACAATTTTTGTCTTCTTTACATTAATTTGCAATCTCCAACGTTTAACAAAGTAGACACAATATATGGATAACAACTTCTTTAATTACTGTAAAGGTGATGTTTCGGTATAGATCCTTATACCGTTGTCAAGCAATACCGTTGTCAAGTAATGTCTATCAAACAATTCCTCAACTTTAACACCAATCCGTAAGATAATCCAGCATTAAATGAAGCGAGTGCTCAACCGCTTCTGTGCGAGCAGTATCATCAGGTTTAAGAATAAATTTACCGTCAATATCTATCTGTGGTGGGGCGGTCGGGTAGCCTAGTGGTTGAAGCGTTCGCTTGTCACGCCGAAGATTCCCGACATGGGTACAATGTGCGTAGCTCATGTCTGGTGTCCCCCACCATGATATAGCTGGAACATTGCTAAAAGCGGCGTAAAACCATACCTTGTCACTATCAGTAGTTCGTAGTTCGTAGTTCTTCGTTCATCGCGAAAGCCATTCTGCTCTTCAAGCAATATCGCATTTGAGTTACACCAAGAAGTAAAATGGAGATTAAATAAATCAGAATAATGTTTTCACGGAATAGTAGCAATGCTATACCACGATAACCCAACGGTTCTCAGGAGTTTGTATCGGACTTTCCGATAAGCTAATATACTCTCTGGATCACTTTTCTGGACAAAGTTATTATCAAAACAATATGTAAACACGTTGAACATTAATGTAACTCAAGCATTGTGTTGCAGAACTTCTCTAGGAATACGATGCTTACCGAGTTTAGCTCGGTAGATAATTATAACACAGTATAACATGATATTTACTATGGCTCTAGGTTCAAGAGAATTGTGCATTGTGGCCTGAGACTTGGCTGTAGTGAATCTATGCTGACAGATTTAAAATGTTTATATCAGCTAATCTAAATTCTTCTTGTGGCTACCAACATGAAGATACATTTTCTTATTCTTTACCTGTACCAACTTCACGGGCCTAAGAAAAAACATGTATTTGTATTCCAAAGGTTATGATCTAAACTCTATTCTTCATGGAAATACAAATGCTACAGCAAAGATCAATTAAGAAATACTAAAATCTGTTCACAATTTCAGATACGCCTCTGACAGATTTCCAAACTTTGTCTCAATGCAAACTAGCGTTTAATCTCTCAAGTAGCTGATTTTTGCTCACAGCGTTTTACTGTGTTTTTATGCAAAATAATTACCTTATTACTTACCCGCGACTGTACATTATAATTGATGACATTTGTATGACAACTAGAACGGTATTTACATATGTCTTTACTTGTTTACCAGTCCAGCTTCACACATTCTGTGAATAAACATGTTTAAAAATTATAACAGTAAGTGTTTTCACGCGGGTTGCCGGTCCTTTGACAAGCTGCTATAGCAGCTATAGCAGTACTGATGAGTCACACTCACGCCATGATTGTGTCTTGTTCACACAGCGCTAGATTGAAATGCCAGAATCACAAATGAGGT